TATTAGCGCCATACTTTTTTGAGGGAATATTTTGATGACATATTTGCAGGACCCTGGATTGGACGACATGGTACAATTGAATGGCCGCCAAGATACCCAGACTTAACGCCATTAGATTATTTCTATTGGGAATATATGAAAGACAAGGTTTATCAAAATAGGCTGGCTAATATTGAAGATCTAAAAAGCTGAATTAGAGTGGAATCACATAACATACCGGCTGAAGCCATTCGGAATTCCGTAGACGAGTTTTACCATCGCCTAGGAGCCTGCCAAGTAGAGGGTGGAGGCCAATTTCAGCATCTGTTACGTTGATTCACCCGTAGATAGCACTAAGTTAGGTATTTGTAACTTTTCAATTAGAATGTAAAGTGTTTTGATCTATATGAATATCGGAATTGAAATGAACATCAACAGCAGACGTGCTAAATAAGATCTTCTTCAACAGAAGATCAGGCTGGAAAGTATTGATGAATCATTGGTTTGAAGTATTCAGTATTTTTCTTATGAAAATCTGGAGAATGCGATTTTTATCTGTTTCACCAAATTTATTTTTGACTTCTGTTTTAAAGTGCTGATAGTTTTTGAGTTATTAACGAAAAACTAAATGCCTTCTTCTTTCATTTTAATAACAATGGCAATCCATTGTGTGCTGTGAAATCATCGAAACCCATAGTTGTCTGTCATCAAAAAAGTTTTTTGACGTGCTATATAAATTTCAAATTTTGCGTATAAGAAAGAAATGGCTTCCTATGTTAAGACGTATTGTATTTCATCGACGCCAATGCTGCTGCAATTGAATTGGCTGCAAATTTCACAACGGTTCTGTGATATACAATAACAATATCAGCGAATTGGTTTCCCATTTTTTATCTGATTTCAGTAACTATATATATTGAAAACTACTTTTCTACCTTCCAGCTTTATTTTCTATCATAATTCATAATGATGATATTTACGATCGATTTCAAAAGTACAGTTAGCATCTCACCTTATAGTATCTTAGCAATATATTCTTTCACAGATGGTTGACGGGCACTCTTACTCAGCGGAGTTATAAATTCATTGCATATTTCTACGGATGGAAGCTCAGATGGAACATTAAAACAGGATCGAACTTGAACTAACTTGAACCACCTAGACTGAGCATAATAACTGCATTATAGTTACTGTACCCACAATATTTATTCTCGTTCTTTGTTTACCATATAAATGTATCAAAAAACTAATTATACAAAAAACCAAAAAATGTTTCTATCAATGGTATAGCTCTCACATATCACGTCTTTATGAATAATCGATAATTTATTAGATTTAGAGTGTTTTTCCGGTAAGAAAAATCGGAATAACTCTTAAATAACCAAAAAATTATCTAAAACAAGCTATTCTGAATGATCGTTTCCTGAGGTACATTTTCAAACGCTGCCAGCATGAAAGACATCTCTCTTTTTCATAGGATTCTGTGTTCATGACAATTTTGAAAACGGTGAAGTTCAAAAGTAGAGAAAACAGTTCTTTTCAAAAACTTCCATTTTTCAATATTTTCATATTCTTATTAAATTTTTTTTAAATGAAATCAGTCAAAATAGGTTCATGATCCAAACGGTAAAGTTTCTACAAATACATTACATATATGTCTCCGTGTGTTTCACCAGTAATTTTGCTTAATTGATTGAATAGATCCAGGCTCTTCAAGCTTGGCCTTTTTCCCTCAATTAGAATTTCAAAAACTGGTCAAAGGGCTGAAGCTTTGTATTCCTGTTCTACAAATTCAAATAGAGCTGTACTTTGGCAAGTGCCAAACGTGATGGCGAGCCCACCCACATGGGCACAAACTTATTTTAAATGTAACCCCCACTACAGCTTTTGTAAGGCATACAAATGCTCTGCATAGAGGCGTATCATTACTTGTCCTCCAATACTGTTGGCGTTGGACATTGTCTGAATAATTTGTGTTGTTTCTAAAAAAATGTGATTGCCTAACAAAAAACCGGTCATCAAGAGTGTATCATTATATAACATTTTAATGAATTGTACTACTACCTATAATACTAAATAAAATATGAAAAGAAATTACAGAGAAGTCATGTTCCATTTGCAACCCTTATTAAAAATAATTATAGGTACGACAGTGGCCGACAAGAGGTTATCGTAATCCAATAGGAGTTTAGTCAGGGAAGTTTATACCTACGCGATCGCTCGCCATCACGTTTGGCGCTTAGTCCTGCTGCTCTCATAAGAAGATAATCTACTATGGAGATTGTAACAATTGGAGTGTACTGTTTTTGATAGAATTCATAACTTCTCAGATCATACTATTCAATAAGTGGCATAAACTGAAAGAATTGAAAACCCGTTTCCCTTACCAGATAACGTATTTTGTATTGAAGTCATATGCTAACGTCACAACTCAAATCTACAAAATTAGAGTTTGTTTGGCAAAATATAAAAGTATATGAAGTATGTATTAATAACGCATGTTGCACTAATTGACGTTTCTCAATTTAGAGGTTGATTATACAATATTAAAAAACCTCTGGTATTGATATTCGGCCAAGAAATTCCACGAAGTTGATAATTTTTGATGCCTCCTCACATCGATAATTATGTTCTTGTATAGCACAGTGAAAATCAGGACCATAAAGACCTTTCTTCAATGAATTAATGATGAGAGCTTACTAGTACATTCAGCTGATTCTTCTAGAAAATAGCAATATAGTTGTATGAGAAAAGCAGATATAATAGTCGTAAAAATATATTTTACCCAAAGATACATCAATTCACAATTGAACTTAACGAATAAACCATCACCCGTTTTCCAATCTGGGATATAAACAATTAAATGAATAACAATGTTCTCGCCTGGCTGGCTTTGAACCACATGTGGGAACGGGACCTGGCACACACGCCGACCGGTGATCGTCGCCGGTAAAATACCGGTGAGCAGCCGTCCACTGTCACTGTATCGCCGGCAGTACCGGCAAGTAGAGGCGTACATGACTAAATACACTCTTGCATACTCACGGGTTTTTTACCGACCATTCCAGTCTCGAATGCTCGGTGAAATTGTAGTTACTACGCATTAACTTCATTCTGGTAGTGCGTGCTAATTACGACAACAGGAATGAGACCTGGCACACATGCCTACCGGTGATCGGCGTCGATCGCCGGTAAGCGTGTGTCCCAGGTCCCGTTCCCACATGTGGTTCACTATGGGAATTTGGAAGACCGGTATAAAATCGGCCGTCCAAAATCGGTGTGTGTGTGCAATTAGCCTTAAGTTTCAGATCGTCTGGATTTTGCTGTTTTGAAATAACTTATACAACCGCCTCTCTGCATACTGCATACGTTTTTATTCAATCCGAAATTAATAATAAGTGTAATGTAACAAACTCTAGATGAACAACAACGTATAATGAAAGATATATGGATACCATCGCATCCTTTACATACCTTTTTTAAATTATGTCATTTGTTTCACTGATTCGAAACTCAGAATCTACAGTCATGTTGTTTGATTGAAAATTCTTTTATGGTTTTGGTCTCAGGTGAAAATCAATTAATCTTGAGTGACTTCCACTTCTTTGTCTCTTTCCAGTATCATCATTTCAACGGTACCTAAATCAAGATGCTTTCGCTTTAATTTCTCGAAATATTTCAAATATATTGCACAGGCCTATCGAGCAGTTATAGTTATTAACGTTATGTAGCAAATAACGGATGAGGTTGAATATTGCAATCCGAGGCGCAACCATATCCGTTATTTACGTATCGGCCGTGTGTGCTTTTCGCTGAAAAATTACATTTTGATTCCGGGGAAAGAACAAACCACGTACACTTGCTTTGAAAGTTTATGACAACATTGACATTTCAAGGTTAGTACACCATATTAGAGTATTACCTATGGAAATGGTATTTTCAGATTTATTAAATAATTTTTGTTCTTGAGACGAAAGTCTGATGGATATGTCGCAGCCAACTGGTTAAAATAGCCGTTCAATCAAACAGCTAGCCCTTTGACTGAACAACGCCATTCAATCAAACGGCTATACGTCATTTAGCCGACTTGTTGAATGCAGCGTTCAACACTACAGCTAGGCGACGCTCAGCCAACTGGTTAAATGACAAATTAACTAGGGTGACTTGATAAGCTACAAAAATTTCATTTTTTAATTGGCACAAATCCAAATGTATTTACCATTTGCCTTCATAACAGGTACTGATGGCATTCCCCAATTACAATTTTCCACCTTCTCAATTACACCTTCTTTTTCAAATTTTTTCAATTCTGTCTCCACATTTCTCCGAAAAGCAAATGGAACCGGTTGAGGCGTGTGGAAAATTGGTTTAATATTTTCTTCTAGCTCTAGGCAAATACATTGCTTGTTATATGTATCTAGCTCTTGAAAACAAAACGCACCTAGCGCCGCGATGGTGAGCGCTGAACTAATTCAATTAGACGGTGGCTTTTGAATCAGCTGTAGTGTTGAACGTTTTAAGCGCCTCAAATATTCAATTAAAAAGCTAACCGTGTGGTTGAATGGCGTTGTTCAGTCAAAGAGCTAGCTGTTTGATTGAACGGCTTTTTTTAATCATTTGGCTGCGACAGATTTACACCAAAGAAAGCAAAAATTGTGTCTGAAGTAGAAGTAACTAAGTTTTTGTTGGAGGCAGATGATCATACGTGGTTGCTCTTAACGGCCGTTAAAAAACTTAACGAACAGGAGTTGTTAACATCAACTTTTCAATTGTATTCTGAATACCGTTATATCAAAATACGAAAAAGTGTTTACTGAATTCGACATTATCATTCTATATATGATCTCCCTGCAGCTTTATCTCAGGGTCTTAAATATTATTTTGTCGTTGGCAGATACCATACTTTTTATCACACTTCTGTCACCAATGCAAATTTTCCTGATTATACAAACGTATAATTTATTCTTTTTGCAATATCTGTTATCTGATAATTGATTGCTCTTCATATTTTGTTTTTTCAGATGCAGAATATTTTTTACAAGGAAGTGCTGGCCATTATATGTATCTGGAGACCATTCTTGAAGAGACGTCGGACGACTTACTCTCGGAAAGCGACGTCGATTCTAGGGGATCCCCCGTGGGTTGGCTTGCAACAGATTCGGAGTCCGGTTCTGTTATTTGCATCGATACGGCAGGTAAATAGTTTACAGTTTGTTATGAAATATATTTAAAAAACTGTATATTTCAAGTATCGGTTATAATTAAACGGAACAAAATCAGGACTTGTGGGCCGTGGTCGAATGGAATCTGAAATACCAAACGATGCGAGAACGGATGTTATATTTTGAAGTCTCAGCAACGACTGGCTCATTTTGACTGATTTTGTTCTCTTTAATCGTGACTCCGGACGTGAAAGGCTGTTCTTATATCAGCTATACGTTGACATGTCATCATGTCTTATAATAAAAGAACCCGTGCAAAATATGAAGAAGAAACTATAAAGTCGTTTGAATCAAATCTGTCTGAAATATGTTCTCTAAGAGACACCAAGTGAAATTTTCAATATGCACTAGGTCCCAAAATTCCCTAGATTCTGAAATACGAACATCTAAAAGTCTCAAGCTGGATATTTTTATATTTGAAGCGAGATTTGGAGGTTTTTAAACTTATGGAGCTGAGGTAACTTTGTTCATCCCGTTCCAAGATAAAATTCACAAGAAACACCTGTATGCGGTTTGCCCACTTTCCTATACTATTGGTGCTAGTGCAACACTTCTTTTCCATTTTTCAGTTTTGTTGTATCTTGGACCCGGATGTGACGCAGGACTCGTGGAGTCTTCCGATGACACCATGAATCTGCAGTTGGCTCCTGATGATGAACCTGTATGTTTTCATTCTTCTTCTCACCGTACTGACGAAAGTGAATAAGCCTTTTGTTTGCGGTTTGCTTGTTTTCAAAAATGTATTTTTTTTACTCACAATTCCTCTCATAGTTTGAGAAATCTATGAAGAGAGTCTATGTATCTAGGAATATTCGAAGTTAAAATAATGGATTTATTACAAAATACATGAAAAATTTTAT